AAAGAGGTTGTCCCATTAAAGGGGAGGGAAAAAAACTTCCTTTTTTTTGGGGCCGGACCCATTGGAGGGGCCCCCCCCCCGTTTTTTCCAAAACCCCCTCCAAAAAACATTGGCCCCCGTTTGGATGTATTAGAACCCCTTTTGTTTAAAGGGAACCCCCCCCCCCCCCCCCCCCTGTTCTTCGTCTCTCATATCGGTGCTCTCGGCTCTGGCCAAACCTCTACCCTTCCCGGCCAACGGAATTTTCCAGGAAATTTCTAAAGGAAACACAACACACTCCTCTTTGGCGTCGAAAAACAAAACCTATGGGCCTCCTCCACTCTACACGGGGGATGCCTCTAACGTTCCACCCGGGCTTGGACTTGGGGTGGCACCTACAAAAGAGCAATGTGCGCAGATCTATTCATACACCCGTGACACGTTACACGTGCATCCGTTGGATCGGTCACCTCGTAGAAAAACTTCTTCCTCAAACGAGTCTGTCTCGCCAGGACGCGATTCCGTTCTCTGCCGGGTTGAGGTTGAGTTTCAGTCCCGTCCATCCGTTCGTTGTTGTGCCGTTGTTGCCATCACCGTCAGCGTCGTTGATAAAAAAAAAAGCAGAGGTTGACACACGCAGACAGAGGCGACGGAGATGGTTCAGCGTAAGGGGGGGCAAACCCGCCAAACGCACAACGACTACATAACACGCCGGCCGCCCAACGGTCACATACACAGCCGCCCGTCTCATTGGCGCCATCGCGGTGAGGGCGCGGCAAGGCCGGGCGGTTGTGCTGACAGCCGAGCCGACCACCAACACGCGCGAGATCAGGCTCGCCAAATTTTTGCAGTCTGGTTAGTCAGCCGCGAAACAGGAGTCGACCCAGGATGCATGGGACGTCCAAAGAAACAGAAACCACCTCCCCCCCAAGACATGCCGTCAGCGCAACGGTTGCAACATCATCGGGCCACGCGGTTGAGGAGAAGACAGATGGTCATCCCCAGACATTGGCTGTCCAACGAATCAACCTTTGGCCCCCCGGCCTCGGAAGTATGCTCCGACGTGTATGCACTGTCGGCATAGCGTGAACAGCACACTTTCAAGAACTAAGATTCCATCAACAAAAAACGTGGATACTCGAAAAGAAAACGCGCGGATGTTTCCAGTCCAAAACATGTCCTCCCCGAACATGCATACGCGCGAGCAAGCACCGTTGGTGATAGACACGGCCCCCGTCTTGAACATTTTCCCTACAACCCCCCTTTAGGCATGGAATAGCCAGGCGAAGACGGTAGCTGTACTGGGGCATAGGGAGTGGGTTTGCACAGGCGGGAAGTGATATCGATAGGATAGGTGGGCTGAACAACGCTCCGTACCTCCCTCGAGGACACACGTTGTCAATGGTCTAACACCAACGGCATAACAAACTCCCCGCCTTTCCCCCCGACAAAAAAAAAAAGCCGCTACAACACAAAACCTCACTCACCTTCGCCGCACCGCTTGCTCCTTCGACTTCGTCGCGGCGACCGTACCCCCCTCCCTCCGTTGCTGCTTGCCTTCGGCAGCCACCGCCGCCGCCAGGCGTCTCGTCATGCCCGCTGCCCCTCCGTCCCCGGTCTCCCGCCCCACACCAGGCGCCACCATTCCCCCCGTCCCGCCCGTCACCGCTGACGACGGTGCTAGTGGTAACAGCGTTTCGGAGACCGGGTCAGGGGAAACCGCCCCCGCCGCCGCCGCCGCTGCTGTGGCCGGCATGAACCCCACCGCCCCCGGTACCAACCCTGGCGTAAACACGCCTCCGCTATTTGCACCGCCGCCGCCAACTCCTCCGGCACCGGTCGGCGCTGCGCCGTGTATTTGGTTCTGGGGTATCCCTAGCCCCGTTGCCGCCGCCGTCGTAGTTGGCGAGAAAAGCGCCTGCGATTTTTTTGTTTTGTTGTGTTACGTGTTGTTGAGTTGATTGTTTTCATTTTCACGAGGGATTTCGGTTCGGTTCTTTATCTTGTTACAGGCCGGGAGAACCACCGCGCGATTAAGAAAACCGGAGGCGTTGTAGGTGCGCCGCGGCGGTGACATGTGCAAGCGACACACACCCGACACGATACTTGTAGCACCTTCGAGGCTCTCTCTCCGCAGGTGCGCACAAAATTCATGCTACCGACATGAAGCACCAAAACAAAACTGGAACGCTACACCACGTATACCGTTATGCCCCAGGTTCCAGGCGTACGTAGTTCTGCCGTTTTCTCGCGTCCGCAAGACACGCAGGAGCCGGAGGGCGACGGAAACAAGTTGCCGATATCGACACACCGACAAATCGAATAGTCGATGTATCTACCCAAAGTTGTGACCACCTGTGGTTGCGTCGGCTGATGTGGCGGCATCCCTGTCCCCATGCCCATCCCCATGAACGGCTGTGGGTACCCTTGTTGTTGCTGCTGCTGTTGATGCTGCTGCTGCTGCTGCGGCGGCGCCGGCGGCTGCTCTTGCATCGGCCCTCCTCCTCCTCCTCCTCCTCCTACCGCTGGCAGCCCCCACCCCATCCTTGAGTTGAGGTGCGCGGCGAAATTAAACCCCAGCAACCCGCCAACCCCACCGCCGCCGCCGCCGCTGCGGCAGTCCATAGCCTGGAAACCGCCGGGTTGGCTGCTGCCCGGTGGATTGATTGCGCTTCCGGTGGGTGGCACGCCGAGACCTTAAGGGGGGACAACGGATAGTAGAAGCAAGTTTGAAGAGGATGGGGGGGGGTAAAACGTTCGGAGGGCGGGCGGTAAATAAGGGTCGACGAGAGGGGGGGGGCAGTGGTGTGACTGCATGCTATACTGTATTCTGCAATAGAGATACTGCTGCTGTTATGAGTAGGAAGTCGGTCCTGGTTCAACACAAAGCACAAAAGTGCATGATGTATTGTCTGCGAACGGGAGCATGCATGCAAAGAAACGTAAGGAACTCTCGTTGTTTGCAGCAAGGTTGAAAATATGATGCGGGCCTTTTTATGCGGTTTGCACACCTCTACTGCACGTGCTGCGGTGCCGACTGGCAAAAGCATTACCATGGTACTGCTGTAGCGCCGATGGGGTATGTGGAAGCTATGCATATGATAGAATACTGTAAGAGTCGGAGAGTTGGCACCGGGTGCGATCGTTTTTTTAAATGTCTCGGGTTTTTATCGCACCCCGGTGCCATCTCTCCGACCCCGGTGCGGAAATGCAATTACATCATTTCGTATAGAATTTTCAAGGCACCCCGGTGCGATCTCTCCGACCGGTGCGATCCCCGATGAAATGCACACAGATGTTGCATGCACGCACCCGGTGCCATCTCCCTGACCGTTGCCACAGTATTGATTGGTACCAGTGAATGTAGGTATCCACGCACGCACACGGTCTTCTGCACACACACGCATATATATCTGAGCCGGAAAAAAGGCGGCGAAATACACATACAACATACAGTCGTGGCTCCGTTATAAGAGGGTACCTTACGAGAGGGGGCTCCAATATAAGAGGGTCGAATGGGCTGTCACGGACTCCACTCGCTATAGTAGGGTTACCCTCTTGTACAGAGCCCGGACCCTTTATAGTGGGGTCACCCCACTATAAGCGGGCTTGTAAGTTAGGGACTGTCGCCTTTTACTCACAAACAAACGTATCTTCCTCACAACAAACGCCGCAGGAAGAATAAACCAGAGAGGAGCTGCCAAGGAATAGTGGTGTATTGGTGGAACGGGTGACAAAAGCAAGGAGGATGATGCAAAGATGATGAAAGCACTCTGAAACGAACACATGTGCAAAGTAGCAGCCTTGGGTAAACACGTGCAGCTCTCTTCTATTTTATTGCTACCGTCTATCTTTAAAATGGAGAGAGAGTAGCTTAGACCCCCCCATTGCACCCCCTCATGGGGTCACAGGCCTTAGCCTTTCGAAGCACTTTCTTCTGTGTTAGCCGCACTGAGACTGAGGTGTTTTCATTGGTTAGCTGGTTAGCGCGGTCGATGCAAATAATAAAGGTACAACAAAACACACACGAACACACACATCGCGGCGCTAAGTAGAAGCAGGGGGCTGTTCGTGCTAATAGGCTAGAATTTCGTTCCGGTGTACATACCGTGTGTACATGAAGTTTCTCATGGTCGGAGAGGTATCCAGGAATTTGTAGCATGTCGTTCAACTCTGTAGACTACGTGTTCTAAATGCATGCATGAACGTGCACTTTACCTCCTAGTCAAACGGCCGCGTCAACTTGGCTGCGAGTCAACTATTCTCTGGAGATGGTGTTTCCACTCCATGAACTAAATACAAAACGGAAAGCGTTGGAAAGCGTTGCCGATACGATCACAACCACCCGCCGGCTTGCTTTGGGCGTGTGAATTCGGGCAAATCAGCCCACCACACGTCCGTACACTCCACTACATGCTTGCACAACCTACACGGCATTGGTACGCTGTGCCGTAGTCAAAGTGCCTTTGTTGCTCGAGATTTCCAGATTTTTCCTTTATAAGAGGGTTCCCTACTATGGAACACCCTCATACAAGAGGGTAACCCTCTTATACCGATACAAGAGGGGGCTCCGATACAAGAGGGTGGAGAGCCGTTGTCACACTACCCTCTTAAAACGGAGCCACGACTGTACCCCGAAAAAAAGCGGCGAAATAGCGCATCTGAGTTGGTACCAGTACACACGGTATCAATTGGTTCCCACTTTCGTTTCGGTCTTCTTCTACGGACACCACTACGTACGCAGCAAGTACAATACCTTCGGGTTGTGTAAGGTGGGGTAGGGTGCGGCTTGTACGTTGTGTGTTTGGTTGAGTGTAGGGTTGTCAACGCAACTTCCATACCAATAAAAATAGGAAAACAACTGGCGTCCCGCGTGAACCGCGACCATCCAATCATAAGTAAAAGAGTGGCGCTCCGCTGACTCCGTCCCCATGTGTAAAAGGTACGCACATGCACCTCATTCCGGCAGCTGAAAAGGAGTTCAATATTGGATTCGGGGGTCGGAGAGATCGCACCGGGTGCGATCTCACCGACCCTGGTGCGTAAATCGAATTAAATGTTCTTGTCTCGGGTTTTTTAATCGCACCCCGGTGCATCTCTCCAACTCTTACGGTATGTACCAAAATCTCGATACATGTATGCACTGTATGCTAGAATATCTATCGAGTACCGCCTCCCTCCCGCCGCACGGGTGGGCTATTATATCTTAACTCTTTACCCGGTGTCTCCACCCACGAATGTTGTTCCGCGATTCATATACAGAATGAAGCGACTCTGCTACCGAAAGGGTCAGAGGACGGCTCCCGAACGGCTCGGCAGCTTCGATGTATCTCGCTTCCCGCCTATTATAGTACACATCTACCGCGTGGGCACGGTGCGGCCAGTCCAGAGTGTGCTCAGAGGTGGAAGCTCGACTATCCTCCAGGAAACACGCATGCTTTGGAGCACAGGGAGCCACCCCCGACCAAAAGACCAGCAAGAAAAAAATGACCCTCCGTTACGAAGAAAGTCTTCCTAGATGACGTGTCCTTCCGTCTTTTTCTTCTCTTCTCTGCTTGCCAAACAAACATTACAGCACAACAAACTAACACACACATAAACACACACACACACGCCACCCACCGCGTCCACAAACGTTCGGGCATTGCCGCCGGTGTTTGTGCGGCGTATCAATCAATGCCTATTGTACGCGAAACTCTCGTCTCTTTTTGGGTTCAAGCTAGAAAGAGCCCTTACGTAATCATTTTCTTCTTTTTCGTTCTTGTGTTCGCTCTCCTTTCGTCGCACACGTAGTATAGCACCGAGGGCACAGAACGGCGGGGCAAGACAGCTTACACGAGACCCCCCACATATTGCTGTAGCAGCAGGATCAGTATCCCGGCTGCTGTTCGGCATACATGACGAACGGTAAAAAACAGCAGCACAACGTGATGGTGTTGGCCTGTAGGTTCCAAACCGATATTTGCCTGGTACGCATACAGCATATGGTACGTATGTACGTATGCTATGTATCAACCATCGCATTCGAAGACTCGTAAAGCCGGTCGCCCCGGTGGTCTAAATAAGGGGTATCCCCGCAACTCGCTGGTCGCAGAGGTCGTGAGTTCGAGTCCCCATGGGGTGAGAAATTCACCAAATTTGCGGGTGGAAGCGAAATATAGCTGAAAAGGTCTCGTGAGTGGTACCAAACTTTGACGTTACGCTGAGTCTTACGGCGTGATTATTTCCGGATTGAATTTGGGGGGGGGGTCCTTTTCTGAGCCAAAAAAATAATTTGGGCGTCTTACGGGTAGGAAAATGGCAATTTCCAACAGCCCAAAATCCAACAGCGCAGTTTCCAACAGCGATTCCGGCCAGCCTGTTAGAAAATTGGCCCATTTTCCAACAGCGATCCTGTTGGAATATCGCTGTTTGAAATGGGGGGGGGGGGTACCCCCTGGTCACACCACGATCGTGCCAGAACGAGGAACTACACCGTCTGCTGGCCAAACAGAGGCCAGTATCATGAGGTCATGCACAAACCCTCTGCAGGTATCTAAAATTGAGGGCGTTCTGCGTCGTGTTGGCCGCACACGAGCCGAAAACGTCAACCCTGCCACATTGCTCTGCTGACGTTCTTGCCTTTGGGCCGAAAAGAGCCGTTTTTGTGCCTGCTGCATGTGTGACCAGTTCAAAACGCATGCCAGAGAGAGGCCTTAAGCCGTCGACATCCACAAACTGCAGCCAATGGCGTGTGTTCATACTCATACCCTCTGC